GGTGAGGCGTTTGAGTTACAATAGCGCACAACAAAAGACTTAACACCAAGATGAAAACAGAGGACTCTGTAGGAAACAGAGGACGGCAAAAAAATGGACTTGGAACTTCCCAATCCGGTTTAACCAATCAAAAACCAAACTCAGGAGATAAAAACCAATTGAAACCATATCAAACCGATGCAAGGAAGAGTTACCTCATCGACAAACCGAATTCAAACCAAATGGTATTTGGTTTCTATTCGGTTTTACATCCCATAAACCGCAAAATACCTGATTAGACACCTCTAACCAATTAGACTTACCGTTTGGATGGAGGATTTGGCCTGTGAAGTAAGAAGAACAGTGGTTACAAGCCAAGAAGACGTATGAAGGAGCCACTTCCACAGGCTGAGCCGCTCTTTTCATCGGTGTTTCTGACCCAAACTGCTTGATCGCTTCTTCGGAGAACGATGCGGTTATCAACGGAGTCCAGACCGGACCAGGAGCCACTCCGTTTACACGTATGCCCTTTGGTGCTAGCTGAAGAGCTAACCCACGTGTGAACGAAAGGATGGCTCCTTTTGTAGATGTGTACTCAAGCAAACTCGAGTTTCCTCCGTATGCAACAACGGACGTCGTATTGATGATACTACTCCCTTCCTTCATGTGCTTCAATGCAAACCTATAAGAAGAGACAACAAAGAGGAGCCAGTTAGTCCAAATTTCTATTGGTACGAAATTTCTATTAGTCTGAGATTCGGCCTAAGATGAATTAACTTTATGTTAGTTCATAAAAATTGTCTTAAAACCGAGTTTCATGTTTTGTTTACTTACTTGACCAAGAAAAACTGCGAGAATATGTTGGTACGAAACACACTCTCAAGCCTCGCTTCATCGATATCCTCGATCGAAACCTCGTGTTGTTCCGCTGCACAATTCACGAGCACATCGATGCGTCCAAAGGCGTTGACAACTTCCTCGACGACTCTCTTGCAATTCTCTTCGAACCCTAAATCAGTAGCGATCATGATCGGTTCTTTAGCTTCTTTTGTCTTAACCTCGTGAAGTAAACGCAGCGTTTCATCCGCGTCTTTGTCTTCTCGACCTTTGACGTACGTGAAAGCAACGGTCGCTCCTTCAAGGGCGTAGCAGTGACACACTGCTTTACCTATCCCTGAGTCTCCTCCTGTAACAAGTGCCACTTTTCCCTACACACAATTTCAAAGGTACCTTGTAATACAAGTAAATTGTATGTATAAAAAAGGTTAATTTTGTTCCTATATATAGCTTGAGATATGTTTTTTAAATGGCTCTTGTATTTTCATTTTTTACATTTTAGGAAAAGTTGAACGTTTCAAATACTTATTGTAGCTGCAAACAAATAATTAGAAGCCTAGGTGTATGTATGTACATGGAGTTTGTTTGAGGGCTTGTAGTTAGGGCTAGAGAATTGAGGAGTTGGGTCCATGACATGTTCTTTCCCTGGTTGTGTCTCTTGCTTCTGCGGCGGAAACCCACTGGCCATTTTTTCTTTATTTCCTTTTTAAACTGAAAATTTTCCGAAGTGTTTTTGTGTTTTGTTGTTTTCACAATTGAGAAAAATTGCACTCGGTATATTGGGATAAACAGATAAGTGAAAGGAGCCAAAGCCGTGAAGGATTGTGAATCATATACCACGTTGCATCGCTATTTCGATGACGTGCAGCCACATAGGAGTCCACGTGTTAGATATATTCAAACATATGCATGAATGCATTTACACATGACACATACAACTATTTCTTGAGTGAAAAACATATTTGAAGGGTCTATCCTAATTTGTTCGAGGCAGGCGAAATTATATTATTTCATGTACTTGAAATCGATTTGATTCAATCAAACTTATTGAATTAAATTTAGTGAGTATATTCAATTA